TAAAATTTGAAACCTGAACAAAAGAACATTCTCGAATGGCTAATTTAGGGTCTAGATTGTATAGATTCAGTCGTTTAACCCGTAACTATGGTTCGGAATAACTCGTTTTAAGGTTTTCGAGGCTGCATGATTAGAAATCACATTCCGTCTGTCACTTTCATGATCTGGTAAGCGATGCTCTGATTGGTCGGATGAAAGGTCGTTCTGACGTGACCCCTAATGGGATGTCCTCAGATCTTTGTTTAGCGGTAGCGAGAACTAAGATCTGATTTTAATGAGATTGATTGACAACCGTATATAGGCTTACACTGTATGCAAATAGTAAGTAACCAAACACTTATCTGTCCCCGATTTTTTATGAAATCAGAAACACTACCAACATGTTTGTTTAATGTCCAAAGAATATTCAGCACACCAGCTGACCCATTTAACAAATATGAATTCTGAAGTTACTCAATTCGATTTCAATTTTGCATTGCACCACTAAGTATTGAATCATAAATCAGTACTGTGCCCTCTACACTGATACACAATTGTAAACACCATTCTAAAAGTAGGAATATGAGTATGTATGTTATATGACATGATATAATACACTGCATATATATATATACACACTGTTCCAAAGTCAGGTTGTATTTACACTACAATTTTATGTACACTTGAATACACGTGTATATATGATCAAATTATGATCATAATTGGATATTTAAAAACATTTGAGCAATGTGTAAAATGCTTTTATAGATATTGTAAATCTATTTCTAAATGGAAGAAACAAAATTGGTATACTATTATCAGATTAAACACTATTTTGAATATGAACAACAATAATAAACAGGTGAAACATTTGTGAGATTATTTCTCAAGGAACTAGCAGTTCAAATAATCTTTACTTCTTTCAACTCAAATTGAAGATCAGTATCGATTCTATCACCACTCATTAGTGGGTGAGTATGGTTTTACGCCCCTTACAATATATGCGCCGCTCATCATTAATATTACGGCAATATCACTACGGGGGACTTTAGAAAAGGGCTTCACTCATTGTACCCATGTTGGGAATCGAACCCGGGTTTTCGGCATGACGAGCGAACGCTTTAACCACTAGGCTACCCGACCACCCCTCACCACTCATTAACCAGTGTGATTATACTCAGTACACATTCTATGCCCCTCCCCCCCCCACCCCCCGCCCCGCCATGCCATCATCTGTTCGAGAACAAAGTCTTCTAACACCATTACCTATCATTAAAACTAAGCTAACATCCTGCACTTTAAATAACATCAGTACTCATTTTTTCAAACTAAACCAACAGATTTCAACAACTTTGTCAGGTCAAATAACAGTATACTGAGCTACACAGACTGCTTTTATTATTTTTTATCTTAACCAACAAGGTAATTTGTCAGCCAACATCTGTATATGATAAAATATAAAAGTGTGGAATACGTAGAGAAAAAATACAATGTTGGATAATGTGACTACTGGTAGCTGCATTGTTGTGTTGAGTGAGCTTTTGTCCCAAGCATACATTGATGACATCTTAAATATTCCTAAAAGTAGGCTGATATATGATAATAATGGGATTGTTTTATGTACAAGTCCAATAATCCTCTGTCAGCGCATTCAGGTCATACTGACATTTCCTTGCTCTCTTGCCACGACCAATTCCAATTTCAGGGATATATGGTACCAATGATTCTATTTTTATGGATATAGGCGCCAATCATTTTATTTTCAGAGATATTTTGCGCCAAATATGTTATTTTCATGGATATTGGGTACCACTGATGTTATTTTCTGGGATATATGGTACCAATGATGTTATTTTCAGGGATATATGGTACCAATGATGTTATTTTCAGGGATATATGGTACCAATGATGTTATTTTCAGGGATATATGGTACCAATGGTGTTATTTTCAGGGATATATGGTACCAATGATGTTATTTTCAGGGATATATGGTACCAATGATGTTATTTTCAGGGATATATGGTACCAATGGTGTTATTTGCAGGGATATATGGTACCAATGATGTTATTTTCAGGGATATATGGTACCAATGATGTTATTTTCAGGGATATATGGTACCAATGGTGTTATTTTCAGGGATATATGGTACCAATGATGTTATTTTCAGGGATATATGGTACCAATGATGTTATTTTCAGGGATATATGGTACCAATGATGTTATTTTCAGGGATATATGGTACCAATGGTGTTATTTTCAGGGATATATGGTTTTCCATATTAGATCTTATCACCTGAAAATTACTGGTTACATTTGAGGTGAGTTTGGAAGAAAAAACATCATGGTTGATAAAATGAGTTGAGTTTCGCTGTGAAGTGGGTGGGTAGAAAAATCGAATTATTTACGATGGACTAATATAGAAATAAATCAGTCAATCAATCAATCTTGACAGTCAAATGTCAATGAAACTTGACAATCAAATATGACTCATTATCTTGAGCTAATTCAAAGAACAATACTACATGTAACATGGAGGTTAAAAAAGGGAAGTAGTCCACTGTATGCAAGTATCGAAGCAAGTATCAGATCACCATCATCATCATCATCTTTCTACATGACTTAATATTCCATTTGGGATAAAACCTGGCAAAAAAATAAATAATTAACAAATATTATATAAAAAAACCCATTATTGCCAGTTGAAAACATCAAAGTTGTGATAAGTGTTCAAAATGACTCAATATAATAATTCTATAATATTATCTAGGTAGAGTTGGTTACCTCCCTTTATTAGAGTACAAACAGTTGGTTTGGAGCTAGGGAAACAGGAGCATGTGACCAATAAACTTTGGTAGATTCTATTTACATCAGTGAGCAAAGTGTCTTGACTAAACAACATCAAACTTGGAAAATCATAATGTGTATCACAATAAGACAATCACAGTCTTGGCAAAGTATTCATACATTGTCTACTAATATTTCTTGACACTCTATTTTACGGCGTGACTTACTCATAAATTTGCAACCAACACAGTAAACTACAAGACTGGTTAACTGACACCGATCACATGGCAACATATTTAAGGACCAGTCATTTATTTGTGGGTCAGAGGTTTTTGAAGCACCACTGTACTGAAAATAATGACCCTCCCCTAATGCTTGTCATATTTTTGAATGACACACCCATGTATATGTTTTTTTCATGACCCTCCCTGAAAAGACAAAATGCAAAAGCACTTTCTAATTTATAATAAAATGTCTATTTTTTCATGACCCCTAGGGAGTAATATTTTTTGGTGACTCTCCCCTGAGTCCCTCGGACCCACAACTCCTATAACAAATGACCGGTCCCTTAGATACCTTTTGGAAGAACAAAAGAACCATCTAAATTGTCTTTAGTATTTTTTCTCCAACTACCAACCGCTATGTTTCACCAAAAAATCTGTTCAACCAAGAAAAGAAAAAAAAAAGGGCGAACTGTATGGTATTATTTTTTCTTGTCAATAATACCAATTTAATACTGTTTAACATACATGTACTTCAATAAAAAATAAAACACAATCAGGTGTCGTAATGTCGTTGTAAACCTCAACTGTCTTTCTTTCCTCCCTCCTTCTTTGGCCAGACACAAGATGTTGTGGTTGGATTACAAGTAGGGCTGGGAGTCCAAATTTACTACCTGGGTACCCACCCCTCCATTACCCGACCCTACCCAGGTACCTGCTGTAGGTCTCAAGAGGTAGGTACAAACTACCCGAGTTACCCGTCCCAGCCCTAATTCCAAGGTATCTTAACATGCCATTTGGAGAGTGGTCATTGTAAAAACAGTTGACCCTCATAAGAAAGAATTCAATTGATTGATTCAGATATGAATACCAGTACTTAGCCTGAATTCAACTTCTTAATGAAGCATCTGCAGTAATCCAAACCACAGCATCTAGTTCCGGCTTCTAAACTGATGACAACATACTGGTAGGTAATGAGAAATATAGGGTGTCAGGATTCACTGATTTCAAGCTATGGTACGGGAAGAATAAAGAACAGCCTGGACCCCAGGAAGAGCTGGTCTACCCCAGAAACAACTGGTCTGAGACAATCAGAAACAGCTGGTCTGGGACAATCAGAAACTGCCTGGACCCCAGAAACAGCTGGTCTGGGACAATCAGAAGCAGCTGCTCTGGGACAATCAGAAACAGCCTGGACCCCTGAAACAGCTGGTCTGGGACAATTAGAAACTGCCTGGACCCCAGAAACAGCTGGTCTGGGACAATCAGAAGCAGCTGCTCTGGGACAATCAGAAACTGCCTGGACCCCAGAAACAGCTGGTCTGGGACAATCAGAAGCAGCTGCTCTGGGACAATCAGAAACTGCCTTGACCCCAGAAACAGCTGGTCTGGGACAATCAGAAGCAGCTGCTCTGGGACAATCAGAAACTGCCTTGACCCCAGAAACAGCTGGTCTGGGACAATCAGTAACAGCCTGGACCCCAGAAACAGCTGGTCTGGGACAATCAGAAACAGCTTGGACCCCCTGGGGCATTATGCCATATATTTTACCACAACATTCTACAAATACAAACACAATAGCACCAAGACTGTGTCATGCCGTCTTCTGTCAATATGACATTATAGAGATCAAACATTCAAGTATTATAGTGTGGCCACAGCTACCTCTGGCATGTTGTACTTGTGTTCTGATACAACTTCACCCCAAACCAAAATTAAGTGACTATAGTAGAGTTACAGAATCAATTGTATAATATAATGCAATACAATAATATATGTATTAGTAATAGTATTCAAATAAAATCATTTGACTTGTTGACTAGTAGAGTAGGAATAAATAAACTGGACTTTTGAAGCAAAAGGTTAATGTGGGTAAATAAACGATATATATATAAGGCCTTATATATTTTTTAGTTGGTTTAGAGGACCGTTAAGAACCCTCAACTCCCCCACCCCAAATATTAGAAACAAAATCAAGAGACTTTGACAATTTGGGGGGGGGGGGGGGGGGGGGGGGGGGGGGGGAGAAAGGAGAGAGTGACTCTGTTTTATAATAAGTGAAATGGAAAAAACAAGCACAAGATTTTGTCGCCGCTATCAGTAAAACATGGTGAATAATATGTACCAAAAAAAAAATTCTTAAGTAAAAAAAATCAATTATCTTTTGGTATCTTTTCGCAAACGTACATCCGTGATGGAATGACCTATGAGTCTGTTTCTCATTCAACAGTAGCAGTTCTGATCTGGGGGATTGCATTGTAGGATGATTGCAAACATTTTGTAAACCAACTAATGAAATATAACAGGCCTAACTGTTTCATCAAGAGGAATATATTATATGAGAATTGTGAACATATACAATATATACACTGTGAAAATGAATTTTCATATGCATTGACAGTGTTTTCATGAGTTTTGACATCAAACGGTCACACAAACCACTAGCTAAATGTCCAGCCTTAATTTGCCAGTAATATATGGAGCAAAAACAGTACAAATACAAACACTCCATTTGAATCAAAACAAATATTTGAAAAATAACAACCAAAGATCAAATTGAGAATATATAATAACATCCCTTCAAGTAAAGCAAAGACAATCAAACAAATCATATGTCATGGCTAACTGGCTCAAAGTACAGAACAAGCACACTCAACAACTCACAATAAACCCAATATTGAAAACTGTACTCTAAACACATATACCAATCCACTGTCAGGCACTATAAATTTTATCAAACTTGTCCAGTTATGGAAAGAGAAAACAACTAGTCTCTCCATTTTGTTACTAGCCTGACTAGTGGATTTCCCTATCACTTTCATCCGTATTATACCAGCTACAACAGCACTGCCTCCAACTAAGCTATCCTTAATACTAGTCTCTCCATTTTGTTACTGTTCTGATGTCCTTGTTATTGGTTTAATATCAGCAACAACACCACGCCTACAACAAAGCTACCCTTGATACTAGTCTGTTTATCAAGGGTATTATATCACATAGGCGGATCCAGAGTATGTAAAATTAACTGAGAGAGGATTTTGATATTTTGGACCTGTCCCTGTTAAATTTGTTGGATCCGCCCTTGTATCATTATCTTATAATGATATATACCCTGGACCCATTGCCACAAAGCTAGTTTCGGAAGTGCTGTCACTGTCATCATCTCGTCCGTCTCTTAGCGCAGATTTTCTCTTAGAAGAACTTGACTGGATGGCTACCTTAAGCATCAAATCGGGCTCAAAATGAAGCTATGGTAACGAAAGGATCCTGGGTATTTTTGAAACGAGAATGGAGACAATTCCCCGGATAATTGAGGATGGTTTCTGACTCCAGATTTCTACCAAGTTTTAACCTAGCCAGTAGGATCTAATGATTGGTCATTATAAACTAAGGATCAAAGAAATCTATTTTGTGTGTGTCATACATCAGATCATTTCCTTCCAACATGTCTAAATACATGAAATGTCTTAATTGACATCCCCATACATAAACGTTTGTCTTGTTATTGCAACAAGAAGTCATAAAGAAGTTTCATAGCTGTACATCCTCTATATCTGCAAGGATCGCGTTTTGGTATATCTACACTAACCCCTCGATCCATTCACGTCAATCTCATGCACACAAATTACCCGCCCTTCTTTTCATTAACATTTTACCGACCAATCAAATGTTGAGATAAGAAAGAGAGAAATGGGTAAGCAAGTTTAACATGTATTGCCGAGAAATCAAAGCCATCGTCAGTTTAAAAGGACATGAAGATGTTCTTTTTATCAAAAAGATAATTGAGGGCTTTCTTTTGTGTGTCAGTCGGTTTTTCAAAGTTGAATTTCTTGCAAACTCTATCGTAATCAATACCATGCCATGTTGTTGAAATCGCCATCCCAACATAAGGCTGGTTTGTAACTCCCATTCTGATTGGTCCGTTAGACTGAGGAGCGTTGTAAATCAAATTGGCGAGCAACTCAAATTTGAGATCACGAGAACCATAGGAACGGTTTACTGAAATGCAAGCCGTGGAGATGTAGAGGATGAGAGCTATACTGCACATTTGGTACCTGATCACTTGCTAATGCTGTGTGTAAGTTTGGTTCTTCATCTAGTGATGTGAGGGGCATCGCGTGAAACCTGAGCCTGAGGAAAACAAAACCATGCTGTACTCTGTAACCTGAGCAGGTACACACATGCAGGTAAGTCGCCTCTTACGACAAGCATGGGTTGCTGACAACCTAGCTGTTCCACAGGTGTGTTCTACCAGTAAGCACATATAGGTAAGCACATACACAGGTAAGCATGCACATACAAGCACATGCTACAAGTGCATACAGGTAACAGGATTCTTTCTAGGAAATATTTTACTTGGGCTCTTTATCTGAAAAAATCTAAATATTTCAGACGTACACCCACACTTGCCCATACAGCACAATGTTAAAATGTCCCATTGTCCTTGAAAATGTGGGCCTTTTTCCAAATGTAGGGGTTAAAGTACAAGGCCCCCCCACCACCCACCCCCCACCCCGAATTATCCCTGAGGTAAGCACAAACATAGGCAAGCATAATGGCCAGCACATAAACTTACGCATACAGGTAACAAGGTTCACTCTAGGAAATTTCTGAACTGGGCCCTTTAACCGAAAAATTTCTAAATTTTCCAGAGGTACACCCACACTTGCCCATACAGCACAACGTTAAAATGTCCCATTGTTCTTGAAAATGTGGGCCTTTTTCAAATTTAGGGGTTAAAGTACAAGGCCCCACCCTACTAGAATTATCCCTGAGGTAAGCACATTCAAGTAAGTAGATACTGGTAAGAAGACAAGCACATACTACAAGTAAAGGCATCCATGCAAGCACATTGAGGTAAGGTATGTGGATAGAGGTAAACACATACATATAGGTAAGCACCTACAGGTAAGCACATACAAGTATGCAGATACAGGTAACCACGTGAAGGTATGCAGATATAGATAAACATACATGTTTGCATGTACAGATAAGCACAAACATATAAGCACGTTCAGGTACGCAGATACAGGTAAGCACGTACAGGTATGCAGATATAGATAAACACTAACATATAAGCACATACAGGTGTGCAGATATAGATAAACATACATATAAGCACATATAGGTATGCAGATACAGGTAAGCACATATAGGTGTGCAGATACAGGTAAGCACATACAGGTATGCAGATACAGGTAAGCACGTACAGGTATGCAGATACAGGTAAGCACATACAGGTATGCAGATACAGGTAAGCACGTACAGGTATGCAGATTCAGGTAAGCACATACAGGTATGCAGATACAGGTAAGCACGTACAGGTATGCAGATACAGGTAAGCACGTACAGGTATGCAGATACAAGTAAGCACATACAGGCAACACTAACAGGTCAACACATTCACGTATGCACAATGTTGGGATTTTGTTTCCTCAGGAAAAGGTCTGACAAATCTGGCATGTAACACGAATATATGCAATGTTTAGTCCCCCAATTTTCAATACAACATGTGGATCTCATCTCATTTCATTCCTCCGGTCCCAAAGGGGAACAGAAGTACAGTCACAAGAAAAACAAAGCATTGGTTGAACCATGAGGGATAGAAGAACCGCAAGGGAAGGACATCACCTCGGGCTAGGCATTCTGTGTTTGAATTATCAAGGCCCGAAGTTAAACGTGCATAATATTTAGATCTCAAATAATCACCGGATACATGCCAAATAAATATACAAACATGAAAAGGGCCCACAAGATTAAGGTGTGTGGGTACGGCTCTTTCCACTTTTCTTGCAGTCATTCTTTTGTTTCAAAATCTCCTCATACTTCTTGAGCTGGGAGACAAACCCTGGGTTGGGGCATGTGGCTGGCCTCTTTGACCTCAGAAAGTTGAAGGCCTCTTTAAACGTAATCCCCTCCTTCTTCATCAGGTAGGCGATAACAAAAGTAGCTGATCGGGACACGCCTGCGTTGCAATGCACCAAAACACAACTGGCTGTACGACCTTCGTCAATAAAATCTAAAGCCTCGTTGAAGTGTCGCATTATCGGGGTCTCGGGGATATCATACAGCTCAATGTTCTTGTATTTATACTTGTAAGGGTAGAGGTTTTCAACGAGTGTGGCACAGTTGAGAATGTGGGACACTTTATACTGCTTCAACAGGTCCAGGTTATGGGCCACGTCTTGAGATCCTGAAATGAGAGGATAGATGAAGGGTTTTGCATGACACACAAATATACATCAAGTACTCATAAATGCTGAGATTGGATGCAAAAAAAGAATATATTGCCTCCCGAGGGACACACAATAATAGTCACTGTACCTGCAGTGCACCTAGAGCAGTAATAGGTGTCTGTTATTTCATCCATCAATCACGATCACTGATTCATTCCAGGCTCAAAAGTCATTATCTCAACACACAGTACATTACACCATTTTATTACTTTACCATGTTTACAGGACCCTTAAAAATAATTATTGGGAGTCCCCTGGTCTCATGTCATTTTCAAGAGAATACAATTACATAAAGACATGCATGCATGTGACTGTGTGTGGCTATTGATAATAGTCCCGATTTTTGCTGGTTTTATAGCGCTATCCCACTGAGTGAGTGAGTGAGTGAGTTGGGTTTAACGTCGCTTTTAACAGTATTCCAGTATTCCACGGCGTGTCAGCTTAATGTGGGAGGAAAGCCCGAAGTGATGCAGGTCTCAGACGTTTACCACTTCAGTGAAACCCACGAGCACGGGTATGGTGCTGACAAACCTAGAAACATATTTGGGGCGAACCAGGATTCGAACCCACAATGATAGGTTTCTGGGGTGCCCAAGGGACGCAATTCTGCACAGCGAATCGCGGCACCTCGGACGACTGGGCCACTCGTGCCCCCCTATCCCACTGAGATACCATGCTGCAGTTTAATAAGGATACCCCACTCAGATGCAGCATATTAACTCCAGCCAGTTCTTGTTTTATCCCTTAATGCCGAGCACCAAGCAGGGTAACAAAAAGGACTATCTTCTAACATCTCATGGTATGACACAATCTCATTAACATCAGATCTTAGTTCTCGCAATTGCTAAACAAATATTTGAGGACATCCCATTACGGGTCACGTCAGAACGACCTTTCATCCGACCAATCAAAGCGTCGCTTACCAGATCATGAAAGTGGCAGTCGGAATGTGTTTTCAAATGATGCAACCTCGAAAACATTAACACGGGGTATTTCGAACGATTCTGTCAGCATTATTGTCTATCTCTCGCTTCCGTGGGATAAACATTTGAACGGAGGAGGCGATGCACAGTACGTTGGAAGCACTGCCATACAATTTCAACAATATATTAGACATCCCTGAATGTTCGTTTGTTCAGTTTTCAAAATTTTAATTGAGAACTGTGTCAACATATTTTTCAAACGTAGTCTGAAATGGAAGTCTTTAGGTTGAAACGAGTGCCGTAAGGCTCGAGAAAACTGCTTTCTAACTGGCTGATGTCGACTTCTTGTTAGTCTTTTCAGTGGTTGGTCAAAGTTCGCGAAAGGTTGTTCTGACGTGACCCGTAATGTGATGTCCTCAGATCTTTGTTTAGCGATAACGAGAACTAAGATCTGATTTTAATGAGATTGGGTATGACGCACCCAGGGGATCACACCACCAACCTTCCGCTCTCGGGGCAAACGCTCTAGACCATGGAGGTGGTCAAATTTATGAATGACTGAATGTTGTTTTACGCAGCTGTCAGGAACATTCAGCTGTATCACGGCAGCTGGCAAACTATCATGTCTGGGCCAGACAAGCCAGAGACTGACTTCCTGAGCTACGCTCCACACCAAGAGGTACAATGACACACTGTCAGCAAAGTCACCCAAAGTCCTTAATGACCAAACATCCTCATAATTCATCCTAGTCCACTAACCCGAGAGTACGAAATTGTGCTGATTACAAATGTTTGTTTTGTTTTGTTGTTTAATGCCGCACTCAGCAATATTCCAGCTGTATGACGGCGGTCTGTAAATAATCAAGTCTGAACCAGACAATCCAGTGATTGACATCACGAGCACCGATTCACGCAATTGGGAAAGGATGGCATGCATCAACTTAGTCAGCAAGCCCGACCACCCGATCCCATTAGTCGCCTCTTACGACAAGCATCGTCGTATTTTACAGCAAGCATGGGTTGCTGAAGACTTATTCTACCCCGGATCTTCACGGGTCTGATGCCAAGTGAAAATCGCATGATAGTAGTCAAGTAGTAGCAATTCTGAACCAGTTCTCAATGCTTTAATATTGCTACAACCTGGAACTGAATAAACATTTTTGTTAAACATTTTACCTAGGGGTTCGATTTTGATTGGGTATCCTCAAGTTTTAGAGGGACATTCCATGTAAATCATTTCAAACTATGTGAATACATGTAGTAGATTACCCGTCTGCATCTGCTTGTGGCTCCCTCTCCCAGAAGCCATTTTGTGTGTGCAAAACTTAGCATTGTAAGAAAGGCGTTATTGTTTTAATTACCAATCAGTGACTAATTGAGATACAACATGTACGTTGACTAGGCACAATGTGCTTTTCAATTGGCATCTATCAGTATGTTTGTACAGAAGCTTTTCCAAATGTAACTGTCGGTAAGTGAATTTGGTAATCTGCTGATGTACAATCATTTCATCTAATAGTTGTAATATACGCATTAATTTTATTTCAATAGTGTATTTATAGGTTTTCTTTGTGCATTTGATACACTAGGAATTGATTTTTCAGAGTATTTCAGTTTATGTAATGCATTTTTTACGCAAATATGCAGCTTATCTCGAGTTCTGGAAGAGTGAGTGAGTGAGTGAGTGAGTTGGGTGAAACGCCACTTTTAAAAGCACCATATTTGACGCAATAAGCACCCAGGGCGCTCTCAAAGTTAAAAATAGGGGGCTCTTATTAGAATAAAATATTGGTGAAAAAAAACCCAGAGTTGAAAAATCGTACATTTTGTGGTTTATGCTGACAGCCTGAAATGATACAAAAGAAAAGTATCTGTGTATTATACAGGACAGATATATTTACCAGAATTTATTTGCCCATAATTAAGGGTGCATATAACACACGAGTGCGTATTATACACAAATAAATAAGTCTTGTGTACATTGATCAATTGGAAGGGGTGCTAATTGGGATTGTTCATTAGCCTATATATATATCGCTGTGGGCGCTTATTAGAGCGGGGTGCTTATTACGTCGAATACGGTATTCCACTTATATCACGGCGTGTCGGCACGGGTATGGTGCTGACAAACCTAGAAACATTATCAGGGCGAACCATGATTCAAACCCATAATCATAGGTTTCTGGTGTGCCAAAGGGACACAACTCTGCACAGCGAATTGCGGCACCTTAGATGACTATGCCACCCGTGACCCCAGCTCTGGAAGAGCATGGGATAATGGGGTTCTACTATTTTTAATCTTCAATTTAGGTGAGCTAAATCTCTACATACCAACAATGAGGCCGGGCATCACCTCTCCAACTTGGAGATCCTGGCGGACATCTGCTACATATCCCAGAATGCCATTGGGCTGTCGCACCTCGTGTACCACAAACTTGCCCCGTGCATCACGTTCCTCTATGATCTGCACACCTTCAACAGTGATCACCTTCGTCTGCGTCTTTTTCAAAGCTGATCTGTCAAATTCCTTCACAAGACCAGTGATAGTCTTCGACTCGGCTTGTTTCGCATTGTCTGTTTCGTCCATTTTGCTAATAGCCGGAAGTCTGTCTTGAAAGCACCTGTTACTTCATTGAGTGTCTCTGAAATAAGAATTTGAAAAGGAGTTTGTATTACTGGACCAGATGCGGATCCATGATTTTGAGTGAGTGAGTTGGGTTTAACACCGCTTTTAACAGTATTCCAGTTATATCACAGTGTGTCGGCTTAATGAAGGAGGAAAGCCTAAAGTGATGCAGGTCTGACAGTCGTTTACCGCTTTGGTTAAACCCACAGGTATGGGTATCGTGCTGACAAACCTAGAAACATAATCAAACGCATAATCATTGGTTACTGGTGTGCCCAAGGGATGCAACTCTGCACAGCAAATTATGACGCCTTAGACAACTGGTCCATCTGTGCAGAAGAGAGAAGAAAAAACTAACATAGAACCACATTATCACCTATATTATGAAGAAACAATAGTGGCCATGTTTAAAGTCAGACGGGAATTCTTTGTGCAATTTTTAGACACACCACAGCTCCAGAGCTCCAGATAAGCTTTTGGTGTTGTGGGTATTTTACCCATGCATTTTAAAATCATTGGGTATCAGTAATCCTATCTGGGTATTCAAATTTCTGTTACCCACTAGTTTTTACACATGTGGGTATCTAAGTTAAATATTTAAAAACACTATTCATCTAGTCCCTGCATCCTGGTGTCGTGTGGGTTCGAGAGCTTTATAGGACTCAAAAATACCACGATACTTCCACAAGAAAGTGTGATGGCAAATGATCATGATGTAACTGTCATCGTGGAGTTTGGCAAGGTTGAAGGAATGCCCGTTTATAATTTCAATATAAGTTGCTGATTTGCTAATCGAATACGCAGGGTTACTTCATAATATTTTGATGATACGCACAAGTTTTATTTTTGTAGCATATCTGTATAATGTTCGTTGCGTATTTGATACGCTTGGATTTTATTTTACTGCTATATCATATGTTATTCCACATACCACATACTTGCTGAATATATGATTGCATTATGATACATTTACAAATGCCTGTGTAATCGGCAAAACTAACATTTTCAATATCTGTAACTGTCATGAATGACACTCAAAAACTTCAAAATGTTTAAAAAAAGTATATATGAGTATGCCAACAGTGGTGACAAGTAAGCCCCAGTATCCATGGTATCACCAACCCCTGTTACATGTTATTGCGACTCGTTTACTTTTACTCATTAATTATAAGAAGGAAGAAAAAATTGCCCTTTATCATGTGCAAAATTGACCCTTGTTACCTAAATTAATACAGTAAATTACCAGTACATGAACACGTTTATAAAGATGACAGACATAACGAAATGATTTTTTTGTCCTGGAAATTTGCTATACAATTTATCATTATAAAATTGATGCACATATTTTTTTTTTATGAACACACTCTTAACAAAATCATGGATATAGCAAAGTGACTTTGTAGTGCCATGTGTACTCTGTCAACGACAATGTTTATGTTTATAATGAACAGTTTATCTCTGTGCTGCTCATCAAAGGCGGCTGATCAAAGCAGCAACAAACAATTGAAGGCAAGTGATTAACCATGTTAACTGGATTAAGTACTGACACCTTGTTCTTAATTTACACACTCAATTAACAAGACGAAAACAGTGATTCCACCATGAAGTTAGGAAATATTCAGTTCTGATTGGTCAATCAGAGGTATTAAATCACAATAAAAACCCTCTGATTGAAAAAGCCGATTTGACGGACACATTACTGCGGAAGCTGATATTTTTAGAATAGTGCTTCTTTTACAGTCATTGTCGGTAGGCATATTCAAATAATTGTATGTACAATTACAGGCTACAAAATGCATAAAACATGATAGACATCTACAAAGAGAATTATGTCAAGTTTTGATGCCAACAGAGAGCTTGCTTTTTGACGCTTTTCTATATACAACTGTGATGTCTTTTGCATCACAAAGAGTGATATGATGTCATGATAACTACGTGCTGTGTAGAACGAAACCTTTGCAAAGCTTGCTTAGCTTTCTTTAGGGGTGCTGACCTCATGATAGCTTATGAAGTTGCCATGCTACATGCTTTCAGAGCCTGTCATAAGCTGAAGTGAAGTTTACCATGTAAACAAACTGCTTGAGCACATCGAGTGCCACATTTTGTTTCAAGGCTATTGTCGGTGATTCCGTAATTCAGATCGACAACCCACTCAAAACACTGGACTCAACATGTCGCCTCACTCTATGTATTTGCTAACACCAAAGAGTCAGCGATTTATTTAGTCATGGTAGAATGGAGATAAACCTACTATGTTTTCAGCATAGAGCTGGGTTACCTGTAGATTAACCGCGTTAAAGTTTACACTTGAATCCTCACACTGTATGTTCGGTTCCAAGTTCAATTGAGCATGGTTAAATCTCCTGGTAACCAAGCTCTACATTGAAAACACAGTATGTTTATCTCCAAATTTGGCAATAGCCTTTGAAGAGATATATCTGTAGTGATCAAGTGACCAGATCCAAGATGTCGGACAGTCGAAATGCTTTTAACCAACTACCTTAATAACAACCCAAAATTAGAGGTACCTAAGTATCATATCCATAGTTAACTATATATATCAAAACACCAGGGCCCACTTGCACAAAGCGATCTTAGCTCTACCATGATCGTAACACCCATACTTTAACATAGGCTTACGATAGTCTTAGCGCTAAGATCGCTTTGTGCAAGTGGGACCTGGTAAGCACTTTGCTTCAATGTAACTTTAGGGATGAGATGAAATAGAGTTTAACGTTGTGTCATAGATTATTGCACTTATATAATGATGTGCATGCACGTGTGTGTGGCTGCTTGTACTAGTCCGGACTAATGCTGATTTTTAAGTGCTAGCCCACTGAGATACCATACCGCAGTTTAACATGAATACCCCACTCAGACACACTTTACTGACTCTGAGCCGACCAGTCCTTGTTTTAACCCCTTAATGCCGAGCGCCAGACAGGACAACAACAGGGTAATTTACCAACAGGTGGTGACCTCAATATAATTCATGTACCTATTTAATTCAAAGCAGTGACACATTTGATTCAAAGCAGTGACATGTTTTGTTTATCCTGAATTTATAGACCAACAAGTGGTGACCTCAATATAATTCATGTACATATTTCATTAAAAATAGTGATAAAGTTGTTTATTTAGAAGCCACCGACAAACAAGTGGTGATTTTAATATGATCCATTTACAATAGTTTGGAACTTGCACACACACCTTAATATACGTTAAGGGATTTTCAGGAAAGATGGAGCTGAATGTTATGGAGGTGGTGTAACAATCTACATAAAGGACATACTACATGCACGGCGAATATATGACTTAGAACTATGAGGTCTTGAGGCAGTTTGGATAAAGTCCGTTGTTGCTTGGGCGGAGCTACAGATAAGCTGCGTATTTGCGTAAAATACTCCCCCAAAATATTCAAAACCCAATTACTTTCAATTAACATGCGTACAGAAACGCATGCATTTAATGAAAAACTCAAATTTATAAAAACAACATGCGTTAATACCCAATGAAGCTTTTTCAGCATGCGTACAATGATGAGGCTAATTTCCGAAACACAATTATGAGCTAATCTACTTTCCAAGTCAAGCCTATAGTTAGAACCCTTATATACATCTAAAACACAATTATTATTTTCTTGAAAGCTCAAAATGTTAACTCATTTTGGGAGAAACCCAATAGAATGATGAATAGATGAGTGAAAACATATTGGTTACCCAATGAAAAATGTAATCAATAATATTAATGGTAATAACCCAATAAAAATAGATACCTTTGAGTAAAAACTCAATTGCTCAAAAAGTTATCTGGAGCTCTGCTGGGGATTTTAGTATTACAAACCCCAAAATTGAATATTTTAAATCAGCATATGGACTTAGTCAGTTAATTAAACCGCCAACGAGAATAACAGAGCAATCCAGCACCATTATAGATGGAATATTTGTGTCATGTACTGACAGGGTATATGTCGGGTGTGTCAGACCCTATCTGCACTGCTGCAGCGATCACTGCCCAGTGTATGTCAGTATAGAGGCAAGCAAACCCACTGATGAGACTTACTTTAGGAGGATATATCAATATTCACTGATGGATATCGATGGCCTTGTAACCTCACTAAATCGCTTTAATTGGGAACATATTGAAAAAAAAGTGTGCACTATACACAAGAAAATACGGTAATGATATTACCATAACTCCTATACATAAGAAGGGTAGTAAAAACGAATGTTCTAATGACAGACCTATTGCACTTACAAGCTGCGTAGCCAAAGCACTGGAAACGTGTATTTAAATATGTATTCAACTTACAGATAATGAAATTCCAAGTAATCTCCAGTGGGGTTTTATCTCTGGTGATACAACAACTTACCAATTGATCTACTTGTATGACTATTTTAAAAGCCATTAATGTTAGGGTAGTCTTTTGTGATATAAGTAAGGCTTTTGATAAGGTTTGGCACCGTGGATTAGTAAACAAACTAGAGACGTATGGTATCAAGGGAACATTATTAAAATGGTTTGAAAGTTACTTGATAGATAGAAAACAAAGAGTAGTTATCAACTTATATTAATCCAAATTAACTTTATACTGGCTGGAGTACCACAAGGATCTGTTCTTGGCCCACTGTTGTTCTTGATTTACATAAATAATTTAGTTGATAAAACAAATAGTAATATCTGACTCTTTGCTGAGATTACATCCCTGTATATCGCTGTCGAAAACCCAGGCACAGCAGCCTCAGCTTTAAACAATGATCTGATCAAAATCTCTTACTGGGCTAAAATGTGGCAAGTGAAGTTTAACTCTGAAAAAACCCCGAAAGTATTTCATTCTCCGCAAAACGGTACCATTAAATAAACCAAATCTCCTAATGGATGGAATCATCGTAAAAGAAGTTGAAATGCATTAACATTTAGGCGTAGTTCTCCAGCGTGATACTCACTGACATTCTCATACAGATAGCATTGTATTAAAGGTCAGTCCGATGATAAACTGTTTTAAAAGTTTAAAATACCAATCTCTATGAAAATTATGTATAAATCATTCATCTTACCAATATTTGATTATTGTAGTATACTTTGGAATAATTGTACTAAAGATCAAGAACTGACAAAATTAAATCTGGATGCTTTAAGAACCATATGTGGTGCAACATGAGGCACAAGCCATAAAAAATTGTATACAGATAAATCTGAAACCATTTGTCATTAAGGAGCAAAATTCAATCTTCATCTTTATTCTACAAAATGGCAAACAATTTAGCGCCAGCTTATCTCTGCAACCTTATACCAGACCAAGTTAACACAGTGATTACAGTCTTAGAAACTCCCCAGACCTCCAAATAATAAGATGTTAGACTGAAGATTACGCAAAATCCTTTTTACTTAACTCCACAAAATAATGGAATAATCTATCTGAAGATTTTAAATCCACTGGCTCTTACTCAGATTTTAAAAATGTATTATCATGCAATAACAATTACAAACATGTCTTTAATATAGATTTGGGAACGAGATCCTGTCAAATTATCCACTGCCGCCTCAGACTCGGATGCAGCGACCTTAACGGACATAAATTCGATAGATTCATAACTGACAGCCTAGATTGTTCCTGTGGTCGCCACTATAAAGACCCACTACGCTACTTCTTTGTTTGTTGCAATTATGATCAAATTAGAAGCAACTTATTATATTATACAAAAGGATATGATATAAATACAGTACTTTAAGGATGTGAAGGCCTATCATCTGAAGCAAATAAAAAAATTCTTTTATCTGTCCAACTTTCATCACACATTCTGGTAGATTTAAACATAAATAATACATCAAACTCTCACATATGATAAATATGTATCTTGTGTACATTATTTAGATACTTTATACTACGAAAAACCCCATAATTCTGACTATCAAAACGGGTCACAGCTGAGCATGCTTGACAACTGACCACCAAGGTATTTTTGTGTAAATATTTTGTAAACACCTTGACTTTATTTGTTACCTGATTTCTATGTAGGGAGAGGTACTCAAATAAGTGCTGTTTACCGATCCCAATTATCAGTTGAAAAAAATATATATTTAAACCATAACAAGTACCATCATTTAATGTCTTTTGGTATGACACAGCCTGGGATCAAACCCCAGACCTTCCGCTCTCAAGGCGGATGCTCTACCACTCACTACCCACGGAGGCTGTCCAATAGAACTTTAGAAAAGACACACAGGGGTGTCATGTGATTAGTTCACGGAAACAAAAATCCATGGATAAGCATTCATGAGTAGACTGTTTGGAGTAAATATCGTCTTACATCCATTAGTAGAAGAATAAATTAACAGAAACAAATCGTATTCATTTATATTTATAAAGAATAAAATATATGAATGTGCAATCAGAGATCACACAAAATGCTATGAGTAACTGAAGATGTTCGCATGATCACTTGACACGCTGTTCAGACAATGGTGATATGAGAGCTTTATTTCAACTCTGATTACCTCTCATGGCAAATCAGCACATTTGCTCATAGTTAGACTACAGTAAACTGTCATTTCCGATAGCGCTGGGAAGAATCCAAATTTACTACCTTGTACCCTATCACCTATTACCCGACCCTACCCGCTGTAGGTCTCAAGACTTGGCTATAAAATGTCCAAATGAGAATTGTTTTACAGGAGCCCTGGCAAAAACAAATTAGATTCTAGATACATGTATAAAATGATCTCATCATGCCTCCAAGTTGACTGAAGCATTATCTTTACTCAAACATATAAAAGTCAGAAGGAATGTGCAGAGCTCCAGATAAGCTTTTGGTGTTGTGGGTATTTTACCCATGCATTTTAAAATCATTGGGTATCAGTAATTCTATCTGCGTATTCAAATTTCTGTTACCCACTAGTTTTTACACATGTGGGTATTTAAGTTAAATATTTAAAACCACTATTCATCTAGTCCCTGCAAACTGGTGTCGTGTGGGTTTGAGAGCTTTATAGGACTCAAAAATACCACGATACTTCCACAAGAAAGTGTGATGGCAAATGATCATGATGTAACTGTCATCGTGGAGTTTGGCAAGGTTGACGGAATGCCCGTTTATAATTACAAAATAAGTTGCTGATTTGCTAATCGAATACGCAGGGTTACTTCACAATATTTTGATGATACGCACAAGTTTTATTTTTGTAGCGTATCTGTAATGTTCGTTGCGTATTTGATACGCTTAGATTATATTTTACTGTGTATTTCTGCATTTCTGATGCGTATTTCACGCAGATAAGCAGCTTATCTGGAGCTCTGAATGTGTGCACAGTGTGAAAGTAATGCGAACATATAGCGTCTTGTAGTGTAACCATGAGTTAGATTGTTTATTGTCATTAAACAATTATAACACATGACTAAGTACTCTGGGTATCCGGGTCCTACTCGAGACCCACCCGACCCGATTACGTGAGTTACCTGACCCAACCCTAATTTCCAACTATCTAGGTCATAATACAGATAAACTGGAAGTAACTGGTCGGTGGCCAGTATATATCCTAACAGGAACAAACTTCAACATATTCTACAATAACTTTCACTGGTGAACCATCAACATGATAACAGTGAAAACAAAATGGCAGAAAAAAGGGTTGGACTGGGGATTTGCATACATGCATGTGTCAAAATGACAATCCACCACTTGACAGAAATGTTGGTGTCAGCTTGAGAAGCTAAAAAGGGCCTGCTAATAAAAGTGATGTAGGAGGGTTGTAGTCAAAACAGCCTTATGTCAAAACGGCCTCAAAAAAGTAAAAATGGCGACAAAACCATAGTCAAAACGGCCAAAAAGATAAGTCATAACGGCCACCACAAAAAATAATAATAATGTGAGCAGGATGTGTACAGCATGTACAGAGGGGTTATAGCTAAAACGTCACCGACTGGCAAAAACATCACCGAGCCTTAGGCAAAAACGGCTAATATAGCCTAGCAAAAACGGCACCTTATTTCTTTTTACCGTGGAACTGAAATAAATGAATTTAAACTCACATGGTCACTTGCAAACACCAACAATTGTGAAATGTTAAAAGAAGTTTACATTAGAAATAAGCCTCTTCTCCAATTTACTCGCCGACTCTGATCGGGAGGCGCAACTTACTTATTTCGAAAACATCATATGTTTTGAAGTCTTAAGTGACAATATGTGACAATATGTGACAACTGTGAATATCTGTGAATATCTGTGAACAACAGGAAATGACAATGTAAATAAATCATAAACAACATAACAAGGCATGTAAATAAACCATATAATATACTACCACATAAATCGTTCTTATCGTTATAAAAAATAGAGATGCTTTTTTCGCCCGACAAATCATAATGCAAATAGTAGCCGTTTTTGCCAAATGAAGTGCTGTTTTCACCGACAAATTGATTCCGTTTTGCTGAGGTGCCGTTTTAGCCTGCATCCATACAGAGTATACATGTCAGATATTGTTATACATTCAAAATGAATATCCAGTGTGAGCAGGACATGTTATTACAATGTATTATCTTCCAATACAGTTGACATGTTGTTGTTTTAACCAGTCTCGTGCAATTTACTTTGATCTCTCCCTCTCGTGACAGCATGGTGATCATTCCGGTGATCAGAAAATTTACACGCCAACCTTATGAATTATATAAATCCGTTGTGAAAACATGAATAAACTTTTATCCCAATGATGAAACCTTTCAGTGTTTTATTTCAAACTAATCCATTCATGAGTAGTAAAACTGCGTGTCAACTTATACATATAAAACATGCACGTTTTGACTTTACCTTTTGAGGCCGTTCTGACATTGGGCCGTTTTGACCCTCTCCCATGTAGGATTCTGGATACTCTCTCTCAAAGATCAAACAAATACTGCTATAAATTATATTTTACTTATACGAATTGACAGCGCCTAAATATAACCTGTGTCCATCAATTGATGGAAATTGTTATTCAACTTATTGTTTATAAATTATATTTTACTTATACGATATGCTTAAGATTGACAGCGCCTAATTATAACCTCTGGACACTGTTATTCAACTTATTGTTTTTCTTCTCGGCCTACTTGTTTCCAGAAATCGTGAAATGTCTTAGTTCATTGAGCACGGAGAGATATTTTGTCTCGCTGACTGATTCACTGTTGTAATGCAATGTTGTCACAAATTTAAAACGTTGTCATCAATGATTATCAACCACTAACTGCGCCAAACGCAACATGTCAACACGGCACTCACGTAGCTAGTGTTGTTGTTTCTCCGCCTCTGGAAAGCTTCCGACCTTCTCCTGTCAGGGGAAGTAACTCTTCTGGTACATAAATTAAAAATGATTGCGTCCCCTGGTCTACTCTCCAAACAGAGAAAATCGATATTGTTCAATCATGGCCGCGCCCATGGAAAGTCAACTTGACAGACTTTCCGAAGATATTATCGTCCATATTTTACGTTATTTACCTTCAATCGACTTATGCAATACCAGCAAGGTTGACAGAAAGTTTAACAGACTCTGCCATGATCGATGTTTGGTCAGGTAATCCCCCTGATAACTTGCAACCTACGCCAGACAAATGTCATTCTTTGTTCGTATGCTAATGGATTTAAAGGCCAATCGTTTACACATTTGGAAATCAGTGATGGTATCAAACATTCTTAGCATAACATAAAACTATGTATCTCTTCTGTGAGCAGGATTAGCTATTTTAATTAACTCGCTACTTTGCGACGTCATTGCTCAAGCAAAGTTGTTAAATAAATAAAATGACATCATAATCAATGATGTACCATTACCATTGCCGTTTGATTTGTAGAGGTATTATTTTTAGGACCAAATGTAGGTAATGTGTTATACTATTTATTTTTTTATTATTGTGTCACAATACACATCCTTCTGGATACAACAAAGCACAATAGAACACAAACTTTGTCTCACAATTTATATCTGTTAAACATTTCCTAAAGGAGAAAATGACATCATTATCATGATTATTGTGATTATTTTTTAATAGAATTTGTTGAATAAGTTCTCATGTATCCATCATATATTTCCATACACATTATGTATTGTTACCCTCAGTAAAAATATAATAAACATGGACACCCAGACTCGAATTTAAGGCTAAAGCAGGTTTTGAAATTCCTGGTTTGTAAGTGGCATGGTTAAATTCTAATTGCAGAGTTAAAATATGTTTCCAGTGCTTGGACAGCACACTTATAATCACATGTGTTTACTAACAATAAATCTTTGCAAAGTTTATTATATGAAGCAAGCAACAATTATATTTTCTCAAAAATAAAGTGACAAACACATTGAAATTATAAACATATTAACATGCTTATTTACCAGTAGGAACTAGGATTACAAAATATACTGTGGGATTAAGAAATTAGGAAGGTTATTATCATGATGCCAATTTCAATGTGAAGGAAGGTGGCAAACTTCCTAAATTACAACTGCTTATTTCTTATTGACATTCACTGAGTTCAAACAGGGATGAAAACTGTCTAGTTGGCACACTTTAATTCCCAATGGCACACCTAAACATCCTTACAAATGTCCTGTGGCACATTTACATTCAAACCTTCTAAATGGGGCAAAGTAATGGCAGAAACAGACATGATAGAAGAATGATGATTTTTACTTACAAGCTTTGGGTTAATGTTTTACAATTAGTTATGTGTATGTGTCATATCGACAATATGTGACCTAGTTGTGACATTAAGGAATAAGGAAAGCTTGTGAACTTGTTGGAAGGGTAGTTACAGTAATTATGATTTAAATGACATAGCATTATACATGTTATAGAATTTACATTATGTGTTATATATCTGACATGATTTCATCATTTGTTAGGGCATTTGTGGCCCAGTCATCCAAGGTTGAACAATTCGCTGTACAGAGTTGCATCCCTTGGACACGCCATTAACCTATGATCGTGGGTTTGGATTCCGGTTCCCCCCATTTATGTAAATGGGTTTGTCAGCACCATTCCATGCTCATGGTTTTTTACCAAACTGGTAATTGTCTAAGACCTGCTTTCTCCTACATCAATCTGCCTGGAGATTTGAGGTTTGATCCCCTGTCCGTATCATACAAAAAGGTGTTAAAAAGTGGTACTTATTGTTACCCTGCCTGGTGCTTTGCATTAATGAGCTAAAACAAGGACTGGTTGGCTTGGAGTCGGTATACTGTGTCTGAGTGGGGTATTGATGTTAAACCATGGCGTGGTATCTCAGTACTATAAAATCGACATAAGTCCGTACTAGTTCAAGCAGCCACACCAGGGTTAGAAACTAACAGTTTTTGTCCACTTGTCCTTATAATTATAACATATAGCAAAACCCTTAAATAGGCCAATTTCTACTAGTCCTTAGGATACCTTTACTATTGGGCAGTTTGGCAAGGACTACAGGACTAGTGCCAATTTCTAATGCTGCACACACACATATGCATGAAAGCTGCTATATAAGTGCAATAATCTTGAACATGACATTAAACCCCATTTCATCATACCTCATCCCCAATATCACACTGTGATATAACTGGACTACTGTTCCAGGTGGCGTTAATCCCAACGAACTCACTCACTCACTCATCATCTTGTGTTCCCTATGTCATGCATATGTTACACATGGCCCAAAATTATAAATCATGCACATATGGTCTGGCAAAATTTGGTTCTGAATCAGAATGTTGTGGACATTTTGTATTGGCGAAATATTAGTTTTCATATTGAACTTGAAAGTGCTTGGAAAGCTTTTGGTTTGTGTTACCATGGTTATGGTCAAGTTTCCAATGTAGTAAACAAGTCTGGGTCAACAGGGTCATGTCAAGATATTTTGTCATCATGTTTAAATGTTTTATGTATTTGATTCAGGCAAACAGCCTTTTGCAACAGGGGTCTTGTCCAGATATTTTTTCATCATGTTTACATGTTTTATGTATTTGATTCAGACAAACAGCCTTTCAAAGCTGTTACCGATTGACTGATGACCTCCTCATCAACTATCTGCGAACTGCATCCCTTCATATAGAGACCCTCAACCTCAACTACTGCTACTGGATCACAGGCCGTGTTCTGGAGTCCGGAGTAGGATGCTGCAAGAATGTCCGCAACCTTCAGCTGATACAGTGCAACATGACCGTGAAGAGACTCTGCCGCATCATGGAGGGTGTGAAGAAACTGAAGACTCTGGCTTTCACGCTTCAGGACATCCGGGACTTTCACACGGAGCTCGGGACAAGTCCGGATGCCCAATTGACAGTTGCTGGTCTGAGAGTCATCTGTTTGCACTTCCGACACCAGTTAGAGTTTTCTCACAATATCTCAATGCATTTCTTGTCACAACCGTCTTTCTTCGAGTATTGTCGGGATCTGGAAGAGCTTCATGTTTTGGGCTCTCCGAGTAGTTCTCGAGGAATGCCCAGATACTTGCTCCAGCCTCAGATTCACAATAAGGACAATTTGAAGAATCTTCGCGTTTTGTGTCTTAATGATGCCATCGATCCTGCCGCAAGAATGTTCTTCTTTGGAACTTTATTTGAAGTGTGTAAGCTGAGTTTGTCGTTTGAAACCCTTCTTCAGCCAACGTCCAACCTGCAGCAGCTACAAGATAAGTCTCACTTTGTCAAGTGTCTCCAGAAGATAGACACTTTAAAATACCTGGACCTTTCAAGGGCAGTGTTTGACCTGCCCAACACTGTCTTTCAACTTGACCGAGCCAAGAATTTACAGTATTTAAATCTAGCAGACAACAGCAAGATCCAGAGCCCTAGTCTGAAGGTGATTGCTGAGAGTTGCCCACATCTAGTCAGCATCAACCTTCAGAACTGCCATAATATACTACAAGTAAAGGTGGGACATACTTCTATTACCGTATTCGATGTAATAAGCGCCCCGCTCTAATAAGCGCCCACTGCGATAGTTGCTAATATATTGGCTAGTGAACAATCCCAATTAGCACCCCTTCCGATCGATCAATGTATGCAAGACTTATTTATTTGTGTATAATACACACTTATGTGTTTTATGCACTGTTAATTATGAGCAATTAAATTCTGGAAAAATATATCTGTCAAATGAAAGCATTTCAGGCTGTCAGCATAAACCCCAAAATTTACGATCTTTCAACTCAAGCCCCATATTTCTAATTTTGAGAGCACCCTGGGCGCTTATGTCGAATACGATACTCATATTGTTATTAGGATGTATAGAGCTTATTAGCTGAGTGTGTTTCCTTATCTTAAATATCATATATTGGGAATGAAAATGGTAATATGCTTGCCTTATGAGAGCATAGTATACTCACTGCAAGACTGACTGAGTATGGTTTTACGCCGCTTTTAGCAATATTCCAGCAATATCACGGCGGGGGACACCAGAAATGGGCTTCACACATTGTACCCATGTCGGGAATCGAACCCGGGTCTTCGGCGTGACGAGTTAACGCTTTAACCACTAGGCTACCTGACCGCCCCTCACTGCAAGAAGAAACGTGAAACATAGAAGCATATAGTGTACCTCTTCCAATGTGTACCACAAAACCAACAGTCAGTCAAGTGTTACCACAGTGTCTTTATTCTTATCACAATATGCTGCTTGGGATTTCCAAACTTTACACACTAATCCTGCAAGACAAAATGGTGCATCTTTAGTCATGCATCTATGATGCGTTCATGCGTTGGTTCCCGCAACCTAACAGTTTGTTCGTTTGTGTGTCGAACCAATCTAATATTTCTTGAATATGAATAATTCTTAGTATATTAACCAAAGTGTATGGTAATCGCGTTTCTTTTGGCGGCGAGTATACATATTTTTCGTTCCTGATATATATTTGTGATTTCTGAAACACACTCGGCTTATATATAATCTATTTTACATATATAGTCAGTCTATAAATAATCGATGTTTGAATGCATTTCACTGAATGAAGTAGCTTAGAAATCTTGTATGAATACAATATTTGAGTGAACTGCCTAATTCATCATATAGTGCCAAACAACAGAAACAGACACATAAGGAAACCCCTACTTACATGGTCTAAGTAAATTGGGAATATTAGCATGATTAGGCAAGAGGTTATTGAGAAAGAAGACATTGCCTTAATGTATGGAGCTTGAAAGTAGTTCTGCTTGGCGATGTCATTTGTATATTGACCAGATCGTGATATCAAGTTTTTTAGATTTGTGTATCGCATTGATAACATCAGGCTTTATCATGATTTTATGATATTATTACTTATAATCCCAGGATATAACATAATTGATATCATGCAAATAGAGCCTCATTATCTCTGTCCCTGATTATCAAGTGTATTTCTGTATTATCATGATCATGTCTCCATTTATTCAGGATTCTGTTATCATGGTTATCAGTTGTGATACATATACTTACTCACTGCCATAGTTTCTGTGGGAAAGTGATGTCACCTCTGCCAAAAATAAGGAAGTTTCATCTGTGTTGTCAGTAACTTTCTCCAGATCAAGTATGATGAGCAGTGTTTGGAATAATTTTAAAACCCAACAATAGAGTTGGCAGGTTTCCACTAAATCATGTAAATGTTGCCTGCCCATCTTCAAAGACCTGCCTGCATTCAGACATTGTAAATATTGAAAACTCGCTAAAAATAAGAAACAAATCTTGCATTTTATTCAGTTGAAATAATGCTAACAATTACTTGAGAATCCACGAGGAGTTATAATAAAACTGATTATCATACCTCCATGTCAGAATGAGGAGATCTGAATGATTCATGTGATAAAATACTGTGTAACCCGCCTTGGAGGGGAATCAATTTCTCAGCGGGGGAATAAATCTCTTATACCCTGCCACGAGCAAATCAGGCTGCACAAGGATTTCTGAGAGACAGAATAAATCCCTTATTACCTGCTTCAAAGCAAAAAGCTGCACGCTTTTTCCTCCGAGTCAATGGAACTCACGTGGCATAACTTCTTTGATAGGCATTTAGAAGTTGGAGTACTAAGTAAGGATAAGAATTTATGGATGAACAACTTCTTTATTACAATTAACATGATTAAGGGCGACGTTTCGGTGTAGGTTCTAACACCGTTATCAAGCAAGTCATTTGCATAGCATAAGCTAACCCTAGGTCCATCGAACTGGTTTCTGTTACCAGATTACGTGTATCAGGTGTGATTGAAGGGAAAGTCACTTCCATGATATAGCTGGAATATTGCTAAATGCGGCTTTAAATAACTAACAAAACTTATTAGATACAGTTTTGTCAGTTTTGCCTAAACCTGTGGCCCTTTGACAACCAGTCACTTGTAATACCTCCTTAATTTATTTTTTGGAAGACAATTTTACCCCCCCAAATCAGGGGTCAATTTAACAATAAATTCGTAGGTAGCCAGCATGGCTTGGTCCTGTTAAAAGTTACTGGCCCTTCTCCAAACTAACTGCCCTACAACTGAATGATGGAGTCCGCGAAGTGGCTGAACCTGAGGCCGTGTAGTCGCCTAGCGGGTCTCTGAAAAGTTTAGAACTCCTCACCCCTGAAACGCCTTTTCCTGCACTCTGAGATTAAATCTTCCATTTGCCTCAATCCATGGTGATTTATGAGCAAAGAAAGATGTTCCTAAACACAACTTTACAAAATGGCAGCCAGTTTTCATTCTACCAAGACAATGGGCATATTATCTTAAGTTAACCATTCACACAAATTCATCCACACTAAATATTTTGTCATCAAAATTACATGATTCTTGGGCAGTGTCCAATTAAAATACATGGAGAAGGGGTGAAATTTTGACTGGCCAGATGGGCCATCTTCTTAATGTTTCAGCAAGCCCTTTGTAATTTTAACTAGCCACAGGCCAACGGGCCAGCAGTTAAATTGACCCCTGCAAATTGTAAAAAATCTTTCCATTTCAGCATTGTTCAGTTCAGAGACGTAATGTCTATTTCTATTAAAACCTGATTCTTATCTTCCATGTGTACAGAGAGACAATCAAATGGAGGCGGATGTTCGTGGTCTTCAGATGCTTCTAGTCACATGCTGCAGACTCCGTCACATCAACCTGTCCGGCATACACGTCCATGATAAAGACAATCCACAGGCTTGTCTGTGGCAGATGCTATCTTTGAACACAGGTAGGACTATAGCCATTGTCCCTAGTGTTGATATTATACGGTGATACAGTATTGTATCCCGATACTAGGCCCAAACAATACATCGATTTACAACCCTGTAACACGATACATATGATACATTACATTACATTTTGTTTGTTGTTAAAACATGTAAATAATAACAGTAACTGTTCAACAATGTGCTTTGGCAGATTCTAGATAGTCTTGGTTCTCAGGCACCTCCTGCATCATCATAAAGTTTGCCTCATGTTTCGTTTATATTTCCATTTTTAAAAAAAACAGCAAAAAATCCTTAAATATTCCATGTTCAGTGGTAGTCAAATACTGTATTCCAGTATTTTACTCGTCAAGGAATACAAGGCCCTTCCCCCTTTTGATTGTACACAACTGTTTGTTTGGTTACATACTCATTTGAACAACCAACAAAAAAAACAAAAAAAACACTGCCGTCCGCACTATATTTTCAAAAGCCATTGCCTGAGAACCAATTCTTTTATAATTTTAAGCCTAAAATGTTATTATCCCAGGGGAAATTCATATCGCACAGTTGATAAGCACTAAGATATGAAAAAACGAAAAAATATCATATTGAAATATGTGCACACAAAAATAAGACACTTACTAATATAACCACAAGTAAAATCATGTTGAAAATTGAATGTTTCTGCCCTACAATATCCCACGTTCGATCTCTGAAATTTGAAACATATGATTCAGGGTTTTGATTCACCTGCAAAAAGAAAGCATATCAACTTATGAAATATAAGTATCGTATCGGGATACAAATCTTATTGCACCCATAGTTTTGGGTAACTTGTGATATTGCGATCCCACCTTATCAGTATACCTCTACTTGTCCTCTGATCATCATGTATGCCCTAATACTTCTCAGTGATTCTGTTCTCTGGTATGCCCCCAGTGTTAACTGGTAAAATCTTGTTTGAACCGGTAAGTTTCCCTTGTCAAAACACTGTACATTACTTGAACAGAGTTCCTTCCCTTGGGCTATGATTGTCTGTTCTGTTCCAGATTTGCCCTGATTATCATGATTATGTTTCTAGGTTTGTGCTTAGGGCTATGAATCATTTCAGGCTTAGTTTTGAACATGGTAAGAATTGGTTGTCACACACAGTCTTTCGAGAAATTTATTACAAAATTCTAAATATGGCTTAAAAAAATAAAGGAATTGGTTCTCAGGCAATGGCTTTTGAAAATATTGCGCGGACAGGCATTTTTGGGGGTTTTTTTGCTTGTTCAAACTAGTATGTAACCAAATAAACAGTTTTGTACCATCAACCAAAGGGACTCTCTACATAAACAAGCATACAAACCCCTACTGCCATCATGACCATAACACAATATATGCATAAAGTATTAGGATTTTAATATTTTTTTTAAATATGGAAATAAAAACGAAACGTGCAGCAGACTTTATGATGATGCAGTGCCTGAGAACCATGACTATTATTTCTTTTAGCCTATTGAATGTAATAATATCATGTAAGATCTCCAAAACCTTTTTTGGCAAGGTCCTTGTATGAGAAAATAGAATGCAGAATAAGTGACATTTTCACATGATCATGATGATAAGGGCAAGATGTTATGAGCTTTTGGTAGTTAGTTTTTGCAATGTGTATTTCATCTTTATTACAATACAGTCACGGCTCGTTAATCCGCTACCCGTTAATCCGACAATCGGCTTTGTCTGACACTAATGATGGGAACTGATTAAATCAGTGCTGCCCGTTAATCCATCAGTCTCGCAATCCATCTCCGACACATCTAATTTGCAACGAATTACTGAAACCACTCATCAATCAGTCTCGTTAATCCGACAGAGATCAGCGTATTTCGTAGTCATCTGCCAACAGGTACACAGCAGGTTACTATCATCACTAGGCCATTTACATTGCTCTATATTTCCACACCACACAGGGGTATGCTCAAGCACTATTAGACCCGTGAAGATCCGGGTAGAATAGGTCTTCAGCAACCCATGCGTGCTGTAAAAGGCAACTGTGCTTGTCATAAGAGGCGACTAATGGGATTGGGTGGTCAGACTCGCTGACATGGTTGATGCAAGTCATCGTATCCCAATTGCGTGGATCAATGCTCATGATGTCAATCACTGGATTGTCCGGTCCAGACTGGATTATTTACAGACCGCTGTCTTATAGCTGGAATATTGGTGAGAGCGGCGTTAAACAACCAACCAATAAACAAAATGTTCTGTTGTTTCAGAGTGGAGAAGCATGAGTCTATCGCTCTGCTGTCTGACCCACACCCTGGACAACGAGCAGGAGGAGAAGCCCCTCAACAAACGCTTGCTTGACCAGTACTCTGTCAGTTTTGCCAAGAAGCGGAGAATCGGTCTGCAGCCAGTCATGCAGGTGAGACGTCACGAGGATGAAGAATTGTTTTGTTGTCTGTCCTTGTCTCTGTTCCACAAAACGATCTTAGTGCTAAGATGATTGTAACTCCCATACTTTAACATTAACTTACGGGGTGGTCGGGTAGCCTAGTGGTTAGAGCGTTCGATCGCCACGCCGAAGACCCGGGTTCGATTCCTGACATGGGTACAATGTGTGAAGCCCATTTCTGGTGTCCCATTTTGATGGCCTAGATTGTATGGATATAATCATAAAACCCGTAACTGTCGTTCGGAATTCCCCGTGTTAAATATTTCGTGGTTGCATGATCAGAAAACACATTCTGACTGTCACTTTCATGATCTGGTTGGCAAAGCTCTGATTGGTTGGATGAAAGGTCGTTCTGAAGTGACCTGTAATGTGATGTCCTCAGATCATTGTTTAGCGATAGCGAGAACTAAGATCTGACTTTAATGAGATTGGCTTTCCTTCAACATCAAGCTGATAAGCCGTGATATAACTGAAATACTGTCCAAGGCAGCGTATAGCAAAATTTGGCTGACAATCTATGAGTCGTCTTGTGCTCTTGACAAAACAAATATCAAAAATGTTTGGAAAGAAATAGTTTGTAAATTGGAAAAAAACATGTTTGAGTGTGAATTGACTGAATTCCAGAGTCTATGAAAAGAAAAGTCTTCAAACTTTCTCAGTTTGATTTGAATTATTATTAGTTTTGTTGTTGTAAGATTTGATATCAAACTGAACTGTGTCTTTCTAGGAGCCCTCCACATCATCAGAGCCATCACCTGCAGAGCCGCTAGCGCCATCTAGTGGGCTGTCCCGTCTTGTCAGTCAGTGCCCGCACATTGAAGAAATGGAAGTGATCGGCGCCGGGTTTCGGTCAGCTTTCAACAAATACTTTGGAGTGTTGCCAGGAACCTTCAGCTACAGGGCCTGGTAAGATGTGTTCTGTGACTGGACAGGAGTACACCCACTCTGCCTCTGAGTCTGTTCATGTCATGTTAAAGGCAACCTTAGGAGTACACAGGGATTTATCTAGACCTAGTCAGAGGCCGATATTTGGCCCTAGATCTGCAACAAATGTCAATAAAAATTCCAAAATTTGAACGAACAATTTCATTGTTATAAACAAGACCAGTGAAGAGAGTTTGGTTTGGTTTGTCGTTTTACGCCGCACTCAGCAATATTCGAGCTATATGACGGCGGTCTGTTAAATAATCGAGTCTGGACCAGACAATCCAGTGATTGATATCTTGAGCATTGATCCACACAATTGGGATCGATGACCTGCATCAACCAAGTCAGCAAGCCTGACCACCCGATCCCGTTATTTGCCTTGTTCGACAAGGATAGTCGCCTTTTATGGCAAGCATGGGTTGCAGAAGACCTATTCTACCCCGGATCTTCACGGGTCACCAGTGAAGAGAAAGTGGCTTATAATATGGACACTTAGTTTACAATCATAGATAAACCACTGGTTCTTGTAGTAGAATTTCAGGTTGTTTTATGAATTTTGGGTGTTTCACTTGGTTGATTCATCATGTCCCAATTGCACAGATCGATGCTAATGATAGATTGATGCATATGATGTCAATCACTGGATTATCTAGTCCAGACTCGATAATTTACAGACGCTATCATGTAAGATGGTATATTGCTGAGTGAGGTGTAAAGCAACAAACAAACAAAGCATTGTTTAATCAGTGTTTCTTTATCACTAGCATGATGGCTGCATGTTGAAGGACTGCATGATGGCTGCATGGTGAAGGACTGTGACAACAAACAAACAAACAAACAAAGCATTGTTTAATCAGTGTTTCTTTATCACTAGCAAGATGGCTGCCAAGGTGAAGGACTGTGACAACAAACAAACAAACAAAGCATTGTTTAATCAGTGTTTCTTTATCACTAGCATGATGGCTGCCAAGGTGAAGGACTGCATGATGGCTGCATGGCGAAGGACTGTGACAACAAACAAACAAACAAAGCATTGTTTAATCAGTGTTTCTTTATCACTAGCAAGATGGCTGCCAAGGTGAAGGACTGTGACAACAAACAAACAAACAAAGCATTGTTTAATCAGTGTTTCTTTATCACTAGCATGATGGCTGCCAAGGTGAAGGACTGCATGATGGCTGCATGGCGAAGGACTGTGACAACAAACAAACAAACAAAGCATTGTTTAATCAGTGTTTCTTTATCACTAGCAAGATGGCTGCCAAGGTGAAGGACTGTGACAACAAACAAACAAACAAAGCATTGTTTAATCAGTGTTTCTTTATCACTAGCATGATGGCTGCCAAGGTGAAGGACTGCATGATGGCTGCATGGCGAAGGACTGTGACAACAAACAAACAAACAAAGCATTGTTTAATCAGTGTTTCTTTATCACTAGCATGATGGCTGCCAAGGTGAAGGACTGCATGATGGCTGCCAAGGTGAAGGACTGTGACAACAAACAAACAAACAAAGCATTGTTTAATCAGTGTTTCTTTATCACTAGCATGATGGCTGCCAAGGTGAAGGACTGTGACCTGCTGTGTATTGGGAAGTGGACCAATCTGAAGTACCTGCAACTGACGGGGATACCAGGTGAGGCCACTGCATTACTGAATCACAGTCATTGCAACATCACTCATCCCATTCACTTTAATCAACCCCACCATCTCTCTGAATGTTTCAAATGTTAAGCCTTCGAGAGGAATTAGGTACTGATCATTTGATGTTCTGGGAATCGTTGACTTGTGATTTTTGAAATTTGTTCCAGAAAATAGAGGAAAGAAATAATTTTGCTGCTTGTTTTGTAAAGAAGAATATGTTCACTTATTGTCTAGAGAAAGAAATGTGTTGTGGGCAAAAGAACACTTTGTTCAACTCTATTCATAGAAAGACGACCGGTGAAGATCCGGGTAGAGAATAGGTCTTGAGCAACCCATACTTGCCGTAAGAGGCGACTATGCTTGTTGTAAGAGGCAACTTACAGGATCAGGTGGTCAGGCTCGCTGACTTGGTTGATGCATGTCATCATGTCCCAATTGCATAGATCAGTGCTCATGATGTCAAACACTGGATTGTCTGGTCCAGACTGGATTATTTACAGACCACTGTCTTATATCTAGAATATTGGTGAGTGTGGCGTTAAACAACAAACAAACAAACAAACATAGAAAGACACTTTATCATAATTATTAGTTTTATCAAAGTGATAAACCAATTATGATGTTAATCACTGCATTGTCTGGTCCAGACACAGTCATATCACTGGAATATTGTAGAGTGCGGCGTTAAACAACAGACCACCTCTGTGGTCTAGTGGTAGAGCATCCACCCGGAAAGCGGAAGTTCCGGGGTTCGATCCCCGGCCGCGTCATCTCAGTCCTACGTAGGAGATACTAAGTCCTACATAGGAGATAGTAACTCTAGGCCATACTAAGTTGTACGTAGTAGATAGTAAGTCATACGTAAGATATAGTAAGTCCTACGTAGAAGATACTAAGTCCTACGTAGGAGATACTAAGTCCTACGTAGTAGATGGTTATTCTAGTCCATTCTCAGCAGTCCTACGTAGGAGATACTAAGTCCTACGTAGGAGAAAGTAAGTCGTACGTAGGATATAGTAAGTCTTACCTAGGAGAGACCAAGTCCTACGTAGGAGATAGTAAGTCCTATGTAGAAGAAACTAAATCCTACGTAGAAGAAACTAAATCCTACGTAGAAGATACTAAATCCTACGCGCCTCCGTGGTCTAGTGGTAGAGCGTCTGCCCGGAGAGCGGAAGGTCCGGGGTTCGATCCCTGGCCGCGTCATACCAAAAGACGTTAAAAGATGGTACTTGTTGTTACCCTGTCTGGCCCTCGGCATTAAGGGGCTAAAACAAGGACTGGTCGGCTCGGAGTCAGTAGAATGTGTCTGAGTGGGGTATTCATGTTAAACTGCGGCATGGTATCTCAGTGAGCTAGCACTTTAAATCGGCATTAGTCCGGACTAGTACAAGCAGCCACACAAACACACACATGTACATGCAGTCGCTTTATAAGTGCAATAATCTTGGAAGCGACGTTAAACACCATTTCACCTCACCGTTAAACAACAAACAAACAAATCATTGCAATGCATGTATGTTAATGAACCAAGGAGGTGGCGAACTGTTTGAGCTTTATCTACCGTTTTACAGGTATTCACCAGGGCCAGTGTTTGGTTGCCATAGCGAAGGGTTGTGTACACCTGGAGAAGTTGTACATAGCTCACCTGGGCATGTCTGGGCACTGTCAGTACGTCCGCTCCCTCTGTGAGGCGTTCAACCACTTCCAGAAACTCAGGGACCTGAGGTTTGTAGGATTCAGTTACCATAGGATTGGTTACCATAGTTACTGGTTACCATAGTTACTGGTTTGTATAAGTGATTGGCAAAACAGGCCAAAATATATACAGATGATGGCCCAGAATAGCCCAAACTAATGCATGCTTGACATTTGAGCTCTGATATCAATCACTGGATTGTCTGGTCCAGACTCGATTATTTACAGACCACCATCATATAGCTGGAATATTGCTGTGTGTGGCGTTAAACTACAAACAAACAAAATCAGTTTTGGGGGGATGAATCATCTTCATGATTTCAAGATGGCCCAGAATAGGCCAAACTTATGTATGCTTGTCAACCCTTTATACAGAATATAGCTAAGAAAAGGCCATATATGACCATAGAGAAGCCAAATTTTGAGGACCAGAAAAAAGTTTCTGTAGAAAGCGGTCGGCTTATGCATGGGTTACACTTTCATCATATTCTTTTTCTGTTGGTGAAAAAAACCAAACAATTAAACACTTTTTATTACGACAGGATTAACTTGGATTAATTCAATACAGACTTGTTGATATTCTATTTCCGATGAGAGATCATGACGAGACATAGTTTTAGGTTGGGGGTCCGGCTTATCTACGGCACATTCCATTTTGATACAGATTTCAAGGACCAAGTAAATACCTCGGCTTATCTATGAGTTTGGCTTATCTAGGGTCACATATGCATGATGGCCAAGAATTGATCCAATTGGGAATGGCCGTAGTATGCGACCTTCTATGGGGGGTAGTCAAACAGGGGAGAATCATATCAGGTCAAAAGATCTAGACACCTTAGCTATTGGGCAGTTTGACAGACTATAGGACTAGTGCCAGTTTCTAACGCTGTATAAAGCCATGTTAATGCTGGGCTATTGCTAAAAGCGGTGTAAAAAAAACCCCACACGTTATATTGCCTCCATTGATGGCTACTACACACAACACTGCCTCTCTGTTCTCTGTAGACTAGAGCAGCCATATCTGAAGCTGGACAGCGTCTTCTTCTCCGCCTGCTCCAACTGCGCCACGTTCGAGAGACTTTGTATTCTGTCCAAAAATGCAACCTTCATAGATGCTGCTGCAGTAAACAAATTTGTTGACAAGGTAGGTCATGTCTTCCTTTATGAACAAACTTCTTTTTTTCGATGACACTTTTTTGTGAAACTTTCAGTGGATAGAAAGATATTATTCATATTATATTTTTGTTTCTTCCAAACTGTTTTTGAGTATGCTGTGTGTTGTGTTAATTATGTTTTGTGTGATCATTTAACCTATTGTAACCAATTATTTTGCAGTTTTTTCGTTTTATATTCACAATGTTTTGTGCATGATGAACACTTACTTTTGTAATTGGAAGAATATTATTGTGAAAAATATGTAATCCAGATTATATTTTTTTAATTTTAATTGTATACTATGCACACATGATTGGGAGAATATTATTGTGAAAAAATATGTATTCCAGATTATATTTTTAAAACTTTTAATTGTATGCTATGCACACATGATTTGGAGAATATTATTGTGAAAAAATATGTATTCCAGATTATATTTTTTAAATTTTAATTGTATACTTTGCACACATGATTTGGAGAATATTATTGTGAAAAAATATGTATTCCAGATTATATTTTTTACTTTTAATTGTATACTTTGCACACATGATTTGGAGAATATTATTGTGAAAAAATATGTATTCCAGATTATATTTTTTACTTTTAATTGTATACTTTGCACACATGATTTAGGGAATATTATTGTGAAAAAATATGTATTCCAGATTATATTTTTTAAATTTTAATTGTATACTATGCACACATGATCCCCCCCCCCCCACTGTAAGTGGAATCCCCAAAACAATTAACCTAAAATGGTTTGAAACATAGGGTTTAGGTAAGAATTATAATTCGGGGATATTTAACATTTTGTCTGGACTATATTGTTCCTTTTGCTGGAATGTAGGACTGCTTGAGTTTCACTGTATGCAAGGTATGTACAGTTAACACACACTCTGTACCAGAACACATTGGTTGTTGCAGCTGGAGTCTCTGGTGTCGTTACAGCTGTTTACATGTGCAACTCTCACCAGCTGCAAACACCTGCAGACCTCACTGACGCGCAGGTAGGTTACCATGGTTAGAGGACGTAGCCAATCAAACTGCTGTAAATGTAAAAATGTAAATATTTAACATTTTGTCTTATATATGATTTAGGACGCTAGACACATGCTAAAGGAGACTTCTGGTATGATTTTGTGTTCCTCAAAACTCAGAACTGTCATGTATCGGGAATCCGCATATTTGAAGTCCATTTATCGCTAATTATTAGCTGTGTAGCCGATAGTATCCATTTTTCAACCGGTCGCAAATGTTGCTGTACGTTAGAAATTGAGCGAAATACATAAAAGCACATATACTTTGCCGCCAGATTAGAACACCAACATGTAGAAGAACATTTTATACATATGTGATTGAAATATTTTTAGAAGCTAAATACTGTTAATAACTTTTATGCAAAACTGTTAACAATAATGGTTTTGCTGCAGGCCACAGCATAGTGTGTTTATCTGGCAGAATAAAATGTTCACTCACCCCTTATTTTGTGGACCGCCTCCGTGGTCTAGAGGTAGAGCGTCCACCCGGAGAGCGGAAGGTCTGGGATTTGATCCCTGGCTGCGTTATACCAAAAGATGTTAAATGATGGTACTTGTTGTTACCCTGTCTGGCACTCAGCTAAGGGGCTAAAATATAGACTGGTCAGCTCGGAGGTATTCATGTTAAACAGTGGCATGGTATCTCAGTGTGTGTATCTATAAATTGGCATGAGTTCGGACTAGTACAAGCAGCCACACACACACATGCATGCATGTCGCGATGTAAGTGCCATAATCTTGGCTGTGGCGTGAAATCCCATTTTACCTCACCACCCTATTTTGTCGTTTGGATAGATTTGATTATCTTGATTTTATGAACACCTATCTCAGAAAACTTAAATACTGTGAATACAGACTGGAAGACATTGCTACTTGTGGTTTGTGATCCAAGTCTTTTAGACTTGTCCAGCCTAGGTATTGGTGTAGGTAATACTGTAGGGTGTGGTGGCCCTGTAACCTAAGGATCCAGAGTTGTGTCCCTTAAAGCTCGCAGTGCTGCAGGCAGAGCCATTCGACAGGTGCATAGTCAAAGGACACCCCCACATGAAACTGTTTAACGAGTAGGCTTGGCGTGTCATTTAACTTGCGTGTGATATGCATCAGTGGCCAGCTTGCAAAATATAAAAAACTTTCGGTAGTTTATTTACCATAAATAGAAAACATCGCGAGAAAGTATCGGCCAAATGTCTTGGCACACAACTACCAGAAACTGCCATTGTTGACTTTCGGCACTTCACATTGAGCGGCATGCAGTCTGATAATTACTTTATATATTTATTATTTTTCACATTCGATCATAATTCTTTGTTACCTGTTGAAAAGAAAACACTCAAGTTCCTTTATTTCTAAAAATGAGCAAGTTTTGTTATAATTATCCGGTGATCGTGGGTTCAAATCACAGATTTTCCCAAATAATGTTTGCTGGTTTGTCAGCACCATATCCATGCTCTTATGGTTCACCAAAGTATTAGACCCGTGAAGATCCAGGTAGACATGGTAGAGAATTGGTCTTCAGCAACCCGTGCTTATCGTAAGAGGCAACTAATGGGATCGGATAGTCAGACTCGCTGACTTGGTCGATGCATGTCATTGTATCCCAATTGCCTAGATCGATGCTCATGATGTCAATCACTGGATTTTTGCTGAAATGTAGCAGTTTTAAATAACATAACACTTGTTTCCCAATTCACTTAACAAGGGCACTTAGTTTTGAATCCTAGATATCCTTGCATGTTGTCTTTTGTTTCAGATTTGAAAAAACCAGACCAGCTTTATCAGTCTGCATACACCCCTTGGTTCATGATGAACTCTCCGAGCTGACTACCCATATCCCTGTGAAGCATCTGGAAGAGCTCACTGTGCTAGGATCAGGGGTGTGTCTTAAACCTCCACGGTGGCCATGGTAACAGCAGATGGATGAAAGCCTAAACAGCCATGACCAATGAGATTTCAGACTGTGATATGCTCATGTATTCCACTGACTCTATTTTTGCAATGTCTATCCTCTTGTGCTTCCTCTTGAGTGAAGAGCTGAATTGTGTGGATGCTAGTATTACAATCAAAATGCTACATGTGTGTTTAGGGATTGCTATGGAAGCCTTTAGGGGCCATTTTAATGAATTATTTTTGAAATTTTAAGATGCCATGTTGAAAATTCAAGTTACTAGGTTGAAATTTCGAGATGCTATATTGAAAATTCAAGTTACTAAGATGAAATTTCCAGATACTATTTTGAAAATTCAAGATACTAAGTTGAAATTTCTAAATGCCCTTGTTGAAAACTCAAGATAATGACTTGAAATTTCTAAATGCTATGTTAAAAAATTCAAGATGCTAAGCTGAAATTCATAATGTGTTTGTTGAAAATTCAAGATACTAAGTTGAAATTTCTAAATGCCCTTGTTGAAAATTCGAGAAAATGAGTTGAAATTTCTAAATGCTATGTTGAAAATTCAAGATGCTAAGTTGAAATTTCAAGATACTAAGTTGAAATTTCAAGATGCTGATGTCCATTTCAAGATACTAAAATTTCACGATCATTATCCTATGTGTGTGGCCCTAAAAGGCTTCCTTAGATTGCTCATTTATTGGGGGGGGGGGGGGGGGGGGGGGGGGGAAGGGGGGGAAGGGGGGGGAGGGAGGGGGAATAGGGAAAGAGACTTCACCCAACTTCACATGGGGTGAAGTCAATGTAAATATTGATGCAAAAGGTTAAGGCCTGTTATTTTTTAGTAGTGCATTTATCAAAATTTTGGTCTAAAATTCAATGTAGGTGGTCGAAAAATAAATAAATACAAAAATTTCAGCTTCCATTTTAGCACTGCTACTAATGAATGAGAGCCCTCGTTGATCCGGGTTAGAATTGGTCTTCAGCAACACATGCTTGTCATTAGAGGCTGCTTACAGGATTGGGCGGTCCGGCTCGGTGACTTGGTTGATGCATGTCATCAATCCCAACTGCGAAGATCGATGCTCATGATATCAATCACTGGATTGTCGGGTCCAGACTCGATTATTTACAGACCGCCGTCATATAGCTGGAATATTGTCCGTGGTTTGAATCCCTTTACATGCCTCAGAAGTATATGACTGCTACATTGTCACACGTTTGTATTGACTTTGAGAAAAATATGTCACAGCACCTTTTGCCTTTTGATGAATGGATTGTATGTAGCAGAGGGCAGTGTCATCCGAAAGATGACACTGTTACCATGGTTACCTTGTGAGCCTGCTGGTGGAGTTAACATCTTTGGTCATGTAGTCAAGGCGTCCAACCTTGGATCAGAAGGCTCAGTGGGGATTTTATGTTAGAATAGGTCCCCAGCAGAATTTGCTGGTCACAAGCGGCAACCAAATGGATTGGATGATCAGTCTTGATTTATAGCGTGACGTGGTCAAAGTTGTGGATCGTTGTTTATTATATGAATAACTGGATTGTCCGGTCCAGACTCGATGTAGCTGGAATAATAAACAAACAAACAAACGTTTGAATCCTATCATAAGGTTTATTTTTGAACTTATGCTATCTCACACTATTTCTTCCTTCTTAAGATCCTTACGTGGAAATGTGCTTCAACAAAGATGCTGAAACTATTACAAGGAAGCTCCCACAAAACTACAAAAATGTATTTTCTTGTTCTCAATACACATCCCCAACACTGCGGCGATGAGAAAGAGACTGATGTGACAGGGGTAGTCAGGTGATCGTGTAGGTCATGTAAGGTCACATGCACTGGATGGGTGACCATGGTGATTATGGGATGTGTTCGGGTGAAATGGTTTTAGAAGCGGGGAACTTGTTCAAGCACGTTTCCACTTAAGGATGGAAAGAAGAATGAAGAAATGCAGTGTGTGATAGGATAAGTATATCAATATACAATTCAATGTCAAATTTACAATTTCATGGCCTCGACATTTGAATGGATGTTCATTAAGAAATATCGTGAACGAAAGGATAATGAATATGTTATCTTGTCCTCTGGATCTTGCAGGGCGGTCGGGTAGCCTAGTGGTTAAAGTGTTCGCTCGTCACGCTGAAGACCCGTGTTCGATTCCCGACATGGGTACAATGTGTGAAACCCATTTCTGGTGTCCCCCGCCGTGATATTGCTGGAATATTGCTAAAAGCGGCGTAAAACCAAACTCACTCACTCACTCACTCACTCACTCACTCACTCTGGATCTTGCATCTTCCCTCTGTGTAATAAATGATCAATGATATTTTTAGATTGTACTGAACGCTAGGAAGGATGATGCTATGAATCACAACCACAACTATATTGACTTGCAAAAGTGTTCCATACTGTAAATCTTGAAATTGCGAGTGGTCTTTGTTCGCATAAATGAAACTTCACATTTATGTCTCCAAAATGACAATCAACAATAGGACGGCCTCACCGCACAGTTTGGATAGCTTACTGACTAACTGATATAGGAGATTTAACGTGCGCTTTCCGACTGTAGCGTATTTCGCACATGGGCCTGGCCAGACCATTTAGTGTATTCCGAAAAGGTTGAAAGTGGTGTGTGCAACCCAAGAGGGGGCTTTTAGGGGAATTTTAAAATTTGGAATAAATGCCGAGGTGGGTGGAGAGGAGGGAACTAAGGGAGCCGGGTGAGGTGGGTGTTGCGGATAGCGGAAATATCAACTTGAATATATACACTAACAGCAGCAGTTGTAACAAGTACATGCATAACAATGTCATTCAAAGAATAGGAATAACACAATAGGCATCCGGTGAGTTATCACTGCTGGGGTCAAGAGTTCTACCACCTCTGTCAAACGAGGCATCACTGACCACTCCAATCAGTGAACTGTTTTTGGTTCAATTATCTTATTGCTTTTGAACTTCCTTATGCCAGTCAACCAGTCAGAATAAACATAAAAACTGTGTGTTGTTTTTAGGAAAACACTGTTTATTGTTATTACGGATGTGCTTTACTCAGTGCTAATAAGCGGTGCTATTTGGATTTGATTGGATTAAGGTCAGGATATGTATCAATCCACTGGGGGTGGGGGAGTCGCATTGATTTTGAGTCGGATTTTTGGCTGGGGGTCAGCAACTTGGCGACGCATAAATTTCAAGATTTACAGTATTTCAGTGATAATGATATTAAAGTTTTGGTGTTTGTAAAACTAAACAATTTCATAAATTTATTTAAATACATTACACACACAATGCTGAAAAAACAACAATACCCGGGGGTACTATTTTGGGGTAAGGAAGTTGAGATTGATTAACGTATCATGCAATTAGGTATAAGGCTATCATTAGACAAGCTCAAAATGTAAAACAAATCACAAGCTTCTTTGCTTTGCTCCATCTATTGTGTTATGTACACCTGGAAAAAAAATGAGCACCACTTCTTCCAGATCTCCATATGAAATAGCCACTTTTTAAAATCGGCTCACATGTTTATGTTCATCTTCCCGAGGCAAGAGAGTTAACTGACTTTAAAAGTCCAGTTTCCACCCTTGTCGAACTAGGCTGGAATTCCTGGGCTCGATCGTAGCGCCACCAGTGGCTATTATGAGTCATGTCCCTTCTATGCCTCTCCTATGGACCAATCAGATTCCACCTCTAGTATCACTTGCATTTGCATCAAACAAAATAGCTGCGCCCAGTCAAGACGATCTGATAAAACGAGTTTTACATTGCAAAGTTCATTAAATCACTTGAGCACCTTGATTAAAACATGAAAAGATTTTAAAAAAATCTGTTGTCAATGAGTTACCGGTACACATGCTTTGCAAAACCTGCAATCGACCGAATCTGCAAGACAGTTTACAAACTGCATTATGATTTTGTTGCGATATTTTCATTGGACTATGCTTAGACTTGTTAGTCCAGCCAAAATGTAACTCCATCATACCAGCCTAGTTCAGCAAGGGTGGAAACTGGACTTTTATAGTCAGTTAATTCCCTTGCCTCAAGAAGATGGTTAATGTTTTGACTGAACACGTTTATTTTTGTTTGCAAAGTGTCATCGTTCTCTGGAATACTGAAATCAAATTTGACAATCTCATGATATTGTCAGTGTTCCACCGCAAAAGTTATTTGCCTGCCCTGTTAGTTTCTTCCCTGCTACTTTGAGTGATTAGACTCCGTTACTTGTTCCAAATCGGCAATATCGGTGGTATCTTAGACATTTAGCAATATGCCATCAGTGTCATATATAAATATTTCCAAAAGGTACATGAAAGTTTAAGATATATGAACATAAAGAAGGGATGTGATTCACATATTTTGAAAACAAATGTAAAAATATATTAAAAATGCTGTTTGAAAAATGTGGACTTTTTGTTGTAATTTTTGTCTCTACTCTTAATTTATTGAGGGGACACCTACATCTATTTGTTGTGACCATATGTTAGTGAGAAAAACTGTAAAACATGGAAATCAGTTGGTCTGAATTTCAAATTCAGAAAATATGCTTGATAGTGAGCAGTCTGAATGTAGGATAACTCCTTTGTATACACTGCATGGAGCTGGATGATAGGAAGGACTAGTCGTCTACTGACTTAGAACACTGCATGGAGCCGGATGATAGGAAGGACTAGTCGTCTACTGACTTAGTACACTGCATGGAGCCGGATGATAGGAAGGACTAGTCATCTACTGACTTAGTACACTGCATGGAGCCGGATGATAGGAAGGACTAGTCGTCTACTGTCTTAGTACACTGCATGGAGCCGGATGATAGGAAGGACTAGTCATCTACTGTCTTAGTACACTGCATGGAGCCGGATGATAGGAAGGACTAGTCGTCTACTGACTAAGTACACTGCATGGAGCCGGATGATAGGAAAGACTAGTTGTCTACTGACTTAGTACACTGCATGGAGCCGGATGATAGGAAGGACTAGTCGTCTACTGACTTAGTACACTGCATGGAGCCGGATGGTAGGGATGACTATTTGTCTACTGACTTAGTACACTGCATGGAGCCAGATGGTAAGAAGGACTAGTCATCTACTGACTTAGTACACTGCATGGAGCCGGATGGTCAGAAGGACTAGTCATCTACTGCCTTAGTACACTGCAAGGAGCCAGATGGTAAGAAAGACTAGTCATCTACTGACTTAGTACACTGCATGGAGCCAGATGGTAAGAAGGACTAGTCATCTACTGACTTAGTACACTGCATGGAGCCGGATGGTCAGAAGGACTAGTCCTCTACTGCCTTAGTACACTGCATGGAGCCGGATGGTCAGAAGGACTAGTCCTCTACTGACTATATGACACTGTACATGGAGCCGGATGGTAGGAAGGACTAGTCGTATAGGTGACATATTGCTGACTGAGGCATTAATTAAGAATGAAAGTGTGCTCTTCCCTGTGTGTGTGTGTCTGTGTTTGTGTGTATGTGTGTGTCTGTCTGTGTGTGGTGTGTGTGTTATTTATCTTTTACAAAACACTTTGCTCACAATATCAATTGGGCGGCCCCTAATTACAGTTTTGCCCAGAATTATACATGAGGAATTCACAAAGAATGGTTTTCCAACAGAACACTGTATTGATGTCCATGAAAGTGAAATCATCATGACTGTTAACACAATCTCAGGCTGAAAGTGACATGCAGT